ATCGATTATGCTCCAAAACGACTGGACTAATTTTAAAAATTCTTTCACCTACGGGCAGCTACATTATACGGGGTTGCCATTAGCTATAATTGACTAGTGCAAAGTCTCAGGAAAACAGCTAGTAATTTATAAGAACGTTATCCTTGATCTGCTTTTAGTTAAATAAAATATTTAAATGTTAATAACACTGAAACACAATTTTGCGTATTCTTGTATATTTATTTAATTTTCAGCACATCAACGTAAGTCGAAATGGAATTGGAAAGAATGTTCAGTGAGTTAGAAGGGTGACCAGTGATCCGTCTGTGTTCTCGTTTGTACAAAATATTAAACAATTGAATGGTCACATGTTTTCAAAACTGAATTCTTAGTCTCTTATGTTACTAGCTAGTGTATGCGTGTCATTATTATAAGCGTATATTGCACAATCACTATAACAAGTATAATAAGTTCTATAATCTATTGCGATCTGTAAAAACTTATAATTAGCTTTATGTTTGCTATATAAGTTTTATGTTTTCATTATACTAGCTGATAGTCTTATAAGATCATGATAGAATGATAGCATAATTAAGTACCTAAAAGCGATCATAACGTAATAAATACTTATATAGGCGTTCATTTATTCTCGTATCTGTTAATAGATTTTAAATTATAATTGACCGTGCTTTAAGCCTTATAGTGCACTACACTACACTATGACTCAAACATTGCATGTGATATTATTTTAAAGTAGTATACAATCGCACATTACATAAACTATGTAGATACGTTGAAAAAATAGATATTTTTATAATGTTTTTCCGTATTCTTTTGTTAAAAATGAATACTCCATGTGTTATTCTTTACTCAGTAATCTCAAATTAAAAGTATTCGTAGATATTGGGTACAACTAATAGGACATAGTGTACAAGCACCTTGATGCAGGTATTTAAACTGAGTCTCTATGCACTTAAGTTATCGAGTCAATTCTACACATCGAGTTGATTCCCTTGCCACCAGATGTCACTTCGCTACTCTAATTTATTAATCTATGCCGCTCATTTTTTTATTTTCTTGATTACTTAAATAAATAATATGTCAAAACTCCTTTGATGTATATTGCAGGTATTTATTTAAAACAAGCTTTCGCCAGCGGCTTCGCCCGCGTAGACCCTAGGGAAATGTTTAGTGGGATAAAAAGTATTCTATTATCTAAGTCAGCTAACACCCTATCTGTATACCAAATTTCATCAAAATCCGTTCAGTAGTTTCGGCGTGATTGACGTACAAACATCCAAACATCCAAACATCTAAACATCCAAACAAAGAAACTTTCACATTTATAATATTAATAGGATTACAAGAAGAAATCTCATTCGAGTAGCACTTTTGATTTTTTTATTTGAGTCACTCGAAAACTCGAGTGAGGTAGTTATTGGTTCGAGTGACTCGAGTCACAAAATCCTACTACAGTCGCATAACTATAACATACTATTTTTCTGTGCATCACAGTATGTCGAGAAATGCTTTCTCTACACCCTACACCAAATGCTTAGTTGATCGAAGACCAAATGTCATTTTCACCGGTCGAGCGCTTTGAATAAAATGTTGTATGGGTTCACTCTTGGATTCAATAATATTAACATATGAACGCACAAGAGAAAAATTACATTTGGATGTAGATAAAACATTCTCGAGGTTATTATGCTACGTGTAAAAGAGTTTGTTTGCAACGAATAGGCTCCGAAACTATTGGACCGATTTTAAAAATTCTTTCACCTACGGGAAGCTGTAAGAGGAGCTGTGGATCCAGCACCTCTACCATGCAGAGCTGACGCACTTTCAGAATCAGAACTTAAGTTCCTACTAGCTAAATAAAATAAATACAAAGTTGGGTTGTAAATATACGTGAAAATTTTTATTGACAACAAACAAACAGACAGCAAAAGTCACACGTCACCGTCACATATTAACTTTCGAATATACGATGGCCAGCAACTAAATTGGATAGAACCTCCAACAGAAACTACATCATATGCTGTGCTGTATGCATATGCTGTATAATCTATATTTAATCTCGAAAAACACCAAATAAAGGGATGAAAATGGAATGGTAGTTTGTATGGGGAATTTAAACGTTTACTGTATAAGTGTAACCTTGTTTAAGCACTTATCTCTTTAACTATTGCAGGCAAAAAGCTAGGTTACGTACCTATTAGATAATAAAATGTCACACTAACTGATAATTATTGTTTTCGCGGTCACTGTAATATTATTCATAAACAAACGCCGCCGCTGGCTTTGCCGGTTAATCGGCGGGTGCGCCCAGTTAAGTGGACGCTCATCTGATCATATGGCAGACCGGGCACGATCAAAGCCGCGCTCACTGTGTGCGATCGCCTGTGAACTAGAATCCAACGAATTAACACATATAAAATATTCATTCAAATATATTTACAGTTTATTCACCTCATACAGAGAAAAACGGTTGACTGGTAGAAAATGCTTACAGCATAAAGTCCGCTAATATACTCTGTGCATGAAGTGTTAAATAAATAATAAAAACTTATTTTTGTATTGATCTTAAGCGCTATTCAATTGGTTAGTAACTTTCAATTCCCAGTTGCACAAACATTAATTAAAGTTTAATGACGGCTGATAGCTAGTGGGGATGAGGACTGTAAATAAAGACTAATGGATGTATGATAAAATATAATAATGATAATAATAAATCACAAATTTCAGTAAGCAAAGAAACGACAAATATATCCGAACTGAGCAAAAAAAAGAGTAGAAGTAAAAGAACAATATAAAAATATGACAAACTAATGAAAAAGGAGGGCGCTTTCCAGCAAGGCGCCTACAACGACTTTAGTAAATGTTGTAAAGATATTTGTACTGGTAATATCGCTTTAAACTAATGACAATTTTAATTGATGTTTGTGCAACAGCAAGTTAACTCAACTATTTTAACTGCTATCAAAAAGATGAGTGTAATAAGAAAAAAATCTTTTGTATGCTATTTTCTCTTATAAATTCGACTCGATAGACACTGTGCCCGACGTTAGAATTCCAAAGTGTTTGAATAGAATAACATACCTGTGATTTCGTAGTTCCTAAACGGATTTAAGGGACTTTTGTTTAATAAGTATAAAGAGCAAAATACTTTGATCCTTCTCAGGCTATGTACGCACTGATGGATTTTTATTAGTGACAATAAAATAACTTTCATGGAAATGACAGGTGCACGGTCACAGTAATAATAAGTTACGATGACGAATGAGGAAGTATTTAAAAAAAAAACGAAAGCACTAAAAAAGCACCTCCACTAGATGGCGTCTCTAGCAAAAGTAGATTTTTGCAGGAAACGAATGGACTAAAGACAGTCATTTCCGTTTCTTTTAACTAACATATAAAATAACTGAAATTTGAAAAGTTCTAAACTTATATATCAATACAAATACGAAAAAATACAAATAGAATATGAGTTGCTTATTGAGTTTTGAAAACTAATTTACTTTTAAACATGAAAGAAAACCGGAAGGGTTGTCATGGAGAAATCAAGAACATACCGTAGCGACATCTAGTTTAAGATTTCAGGAACGAATGTTTTTTTTAATACTTTCTCATTATCACCACTGCGCCTGTAGCCTTATGACACACTTATAGGGTCAATGTAGGTAATGAACTTTTTTAAATTGTCTCAGGTCTGGGTGTGGTGGTACCTTCGTTGTCTTGCTCCATAATACAGGGGCTTTAGCTACTCATCTTGGAATCTGACCAATGTACGTGATGTTGTCTAATATTTATATATTTTATTGATCGACGAAGCCCGCATGCGGAGTGCGGGTGATTCATCAAGCTCATTTAATTGGTCGAAAAACTAATAACAGCAAACAACCGACCAATGAAAATGATCCCATTAGGTACCTGTTTCTATTATTACGAACAAAATTTATTAGTTTCACTTTAAACTTTAAACATCTTTTATGTGCATTAATTTAGCACAAAGATATTTAGCTCTATAAATTACAATACCGTTGCTAGTGATATAGTTTTAGTTACATAGTAAATAAGTTAACTGTTCAACAAACCTACAAGCTTACACAGTTGATATGTAAAAATTTTGCAACCCATATCAAATAAAAAGTACCTCGTGAAATTTTTCATATTTCAAGATTCAAAGTCGGTCGCAATGGTAAGTAAAGTATTAACATAACTTGATATTCAGTGGTGTGGAGAGCAAGTCTCGGTGACGTCGTAAATTCTATGAACTTACAAACACGTTCGATGGAGGTTCTGATTCGGAAGTTATTGCTATCCATGAATTATTATTATGCGTAACTTTTAAACCTAATACTGCTTTGGAATATTTAAGCATAATTCTGCTTCTATTGATCTAGCTAGTCAAATAAGCAGATAAAGTGTTAACCTTTAAATGAAAGTTAATAAAGCTGGAAGTAAACATTTTGTTAAATGTTGTCTCCAAAATGTCACCAAATCTGCCATAATAAAACCTTATACAAGTTTCAAGCGTCTTATACAAGTTTCAGCTCTCATTCAGAGATGAAACACTAATTTTACTGGGCTAATCAAAGAAAACTTTGATCATAATTAAAGGTAGAAAATATTTATAATTGTTTCAAAGGATTAATTCAAGTAAAATACATATTTTATTTAAAAAAACTTATTAAAAAAAACGACCTCCTTTACACCAAAACCTTGGATGAAGAAGCGTTGTAATTTTTTTGTCATTTCGTCGCAAAAAGATTACATTGCATTGCATTATTATGCACAGAAAAAAAATCTTATGAATAATGGCGTGCAGAAAATTTTATAACTACTCAAAAACTTTTAAGGGACTATATAAAAATAGAACTGTGCCCAGATTTTGATTTTTTTATAAAAATAATTATACTATTTTATACTTTAACTTTAATTTATCTTTGTACCTAAGTAATTATCGAGTGTCATCAATCTAAAACGTTATTGAACAATATCTATTTAGTTAGTTGAGAATGGCCGATGATGATGATGAAGGTGGCTTTGGTGGCTTATATGAAGATGGACATTGGTTATGGGATGACACGGAGAAGGCATTGATATTTGTAAGGTAACGACCTTAAAATCCAAATAAGAATGCTACATATACAGAAAGGTGTGTCGTAGCGGCGCGAGACCTAAATTTAATGTAGGCTCTGCATGTTTTGCGAAACTCTTCAATGGTGTAACTTCATTAATGAAATTTTGGTTTTTTAATAAAAAAAAGTTTAATCATAAAGTATAAAGTAGATGAGAAATGCGCATTTTGATTTTCTAATCGTTTACTGATTTTAACTTTTGCACCGTGAGGCCGGAATAAGGCGTGGGCGCGTATACCGCGCTTTTCAATTTCCAAAATTCAATAATAACGACATCTGAATTATTAATCTTGACTTTAAACACTAGCCATGCTTTATTCTGATCTTTTACAGTGCTATTAATAAACAAGGTTTATCGTTAAATTTACGCTAAATTGCAATTTTAGTATTAGCCCAAATTGAATGAATGAATGAATTAATGAATGAACACTTTATTGTACTTGAAAAGAAAAATTAACATAACAATTCATATTATACCGATAATAAGCAAACCTACTACTTTCTAGGAGTAAATATTACTCCTATAGAACCTCGTACTAGGTTAACCTTTGCTAATTCTCTGTTTAATAATATGTATTTTGACTAATACTAAGTGCAGTCTCAACGTAAATTTACTCCAACGCTAAACTTTGTTTATTAATAACACTGTAAGGGTCTAAAACAAAATTATAAACAAAAGACACTTTTATCAACTGATCTTGGTACACACGGCTATACACCAGGTTGTCACAATATCGACGCTGGAAAGCAAACACGTAGTAACCTGCAAAACCAAAAGTGTTCTTCAGAGCACAAAATCTTTTATTTCTTTTCGATAAATAATTCCTATAAACGTCAATGGTAATAAATAAGGTGTTCCTTAGTCAATTTATACGGAAATAAGATTTTATTTTTTTAGAAAAATGTAAAGATTTTCCACTCCAAATGTACATTTTGGTTTTGCAGGTTACTACGTGTTTGCTTTCCAGCGTCGATATGAAGATGTTTCCCAGTTGATTTTAAACTCTTCCCACAAAACATTGTTTTAAAATCAAGTGGAAAATTCTGACAGATATGTGTAACCTGACGTGCTCTTGATTATACTTGAAGCCCAAATAGAGTCATTAGTAATTTAGTAGCCTTGAATTAAATTAGTGGATAGCTATTGATTTTTTTCTTAGTCTTTGACTTTTTCGGGTCGACTTACATATTTCATAAGTCTATTAAATCATAGCAAAACAAATCAATAACTGTGAACTTATACTATGTATATTTTTTTAAATAATCTGCATTACCATTGAGTCAAAAGGCAAAGGAAAAGGCTATGCTCGGGCTATTCGCTGCGAAGTAGAATCAACCGCAATGCAATGCCTAACATAGACCGAATCGCGAGCCTGAAGTGTTAACAGGCAAGGCATATAGCTTATAGTTTAGGTTGGGGCAGTAAAGTCGTCGAGTAGCTTCCACGTAATTATCAGAAAACACAGCGTTTGTTAATTTTCCACAAGATAAATCGACGATATGTCTAGGGAAAGCGCTGGACGAGGACCTTGCGGGACAGTTCATCGTGGAGATTTTCAGAGGAGGTTTTTGTTCAGCAATAGATAGGTATCTTCAGGTTTTCATGATGATGATGATGACCGTATGCTCTAACCCCTACCATATAGGTACCATATCCCTACCCCTACCATATCTTAAAAATATAAACATTTTCGCAATTTTTCAGTGATCTACCCCCAAAACCGGTGGAAGCGATTCAGATTCTATCCAAAGCACCTACGGGGACTGTAGAATTCAGAGACGATATCGATTTAATCGAACAAGTAACTGTAAATTATTATTATGTAGATAAAAATAAAAATATCTACAGTTCTTCACGTATATCTTAGAAAAATAGTGTATTTACCATATTCACATTGCACCTACCTAGTACATATATCACAGCTACACATAATATTTACCTATACCTACTTATATTCCTCTTATGAATGAAAAAAATATACCTATAGATATAGTAAAATATACAAATATTATCATTTTACGCTGTCCCAGATCTGCTAGGTTTTTATATTCACTAACTCATATTTATGGAGTAAGAGCCGGATAGTTGCTTCGAACGGATACATTCCTTACACCCGATTTCTGAATTGAATATTTAAAGTTAAATATGTCTCAACTCGTACTTAAGCCTTTTCAAACGTCACTTAAACAGATTTTTTTTATGATCAGTTCATAGCAGTTTGATAAAACTAGAACTTTTTGCCATGTAAAACGTAAAAAAACGTAAGTTATTGAGAATTTGTACTTTCTCAATGGAAAAACCGGTTGCTAGTAACGAATGCACTATTTAATGTTAGTTATGTTATGTAACAATTTTAACTATTAAATTAAATGGCTAGACCGCAATGGTCGAAAAGGATTCCGAAAAAAGTTCTGAAATAGTTTTAAGGCAAGTTGAAGGTTTATCAATTCAAAGAGCCAAGGGTCTAAACAGAACCGAAGCATCGACATTTTTTTATTTGCACATAACCTCTTTCATCAAAATCGGCTCAGTAGTTTTTGCGTCACGAATTTACGCATTTATAATATCGATAAGATTAATAAGTAATTAAACTGTGATTAGTACTTACCAAAAGATAGCAGTAAATAATAAATAGTGAGTACTTAAATTAATACATTTTTCTTTCTATCTGAGAAACACTAACAAAGCAATTTTTTCAGCTCGAAATATTTTTAACGTTAGGCAACTATCCACTTTAATAAGCAAGTATTTAATTTTAAAGGGCATATAAAACGGTATTTTTCCAAAACCAATCTATTTTTATTTATGAAATATCAATTAAAAAGCTTTTTGGCAAGTGGAGTCACTATCTGGCTTTTACCTTAGTCACAGATACCCGTAGTACATACTTGATTGTCAACGATCAAATTGAACAATCAAAATAAATATACAATTTTCATCTTCTAGATAAGATTCAGGCGACGTTATCAAAGGAAAGTATTGCCTGGACAAGCCGATGTGATAACGATTCAGGTAATTATTAAATGTGGCTACCTACTAATATGCCTAATATACCTACTCATTAGTTCAACGTTTATTATTGATATTTCATTGAAATACACTAATGGTAAAATGCCGTCGATATAATAAAAATGGATTTGTATAGCCTGTACATCATAAATGTGCTCTGAATACAGTGTATAGATCTTATTTTAATGGCAACTAATCATTTTGCAATTTCCAGGACGTGAAAGATATTGCATTATACACGGCCCCTGTGCAAATAATGAGTCCAGTGCTGATTAATATGCTACACCTCCCGACAACAGAACGTTTCTTAAGAGCTCTTGTTTTGTACTTTGCTTATTATTTACAGGTGTGCTTGTGTTTTGACGATATTAATATTTATATCTCACCCTTTTTCATTATATTCAGTTTAATATTTATGAGAATAGAATAAGAAAGGATTATAATTAGAGAAATTCACGAACCGCCAATTGATTTTAAATTATGGTAATTATGTAAGGCACAAAAAATCATCATTTTTTAAATTTGGAAATATTATTAAGTTAAGGCGAAATCTGAACCATAGCGAACACGAAAATTAGATATAATAACACTAAAATAATACCAAGGTAGATATAAAGTACATCTTTTTTGTAAAGATTGCAGATGAAATGGCGAATCGTATAATGGAGTTGGAGAAAAAAATAAGAACTCCAGATTGTGAAATACTTGAACACGAATATCGTGATAATTTAGCGGATTTACGACTTCTAGTGGCCAAAGAATACAGTGTAATGCTCATTGGTTAGATAATTTTATAGTCTTTGTTTTATGGAATTTCCTTTAGATTTTTACTTTAAGTACAACCAGTTTGTAACTTTTTTATACCTCGTGTTTAGCGTTCACTTTGAAAATTATTGTAATGCTTAATGAAACATCCGAACGAAGAGTGCCATAGGTTGTTTTGTGGAGATTAGTTCAAGCTAATTCAATCTCATATGCAAAAATATAGTGGACGATTTACACTCGCAAACCTACTATGTACATTTGTAACAAAAATATGACATCAAACAATGTACAATTGCGTACAGTCGACAATAACTATTAGTACGTGTCCTATTGTACATTCAGGTGGAAGTGATACAAGAAAATTTCACCATATGGGACCAGCGAAGAAACGTAGATCTTTATCAGACAAAGACGCACGACTATTTGAAACATTGCTAAGAATGTGCGTGCAAATTGTTTGGCTGGCTATAGGAAGAAAATCGTTCAACCAAATAGGTAGGCTGTCTCAAATAATCACCTCCACTAGATGGGCGACTCTAGCAAAAGTTGATTTTTGCAGTAAACGAATGGTTAGTAACTTACTCGTACATATTGAAAAACTAAAATTTGAGAAGTTCGAAACTTAGGAATCAATACAAATATGAAAATGTACAAATAGAATATGAGTCGTTTATTGACTTTTTTACTTTTAAACATGAAGGAAAACCGGAAAGGTTATCATGGAGAAATCAAGAACGTACCGTGGCGACATCTAGTTAGATTTCGGCAACTAATGATTTTTTTTAATACTTCGTCATTAGTTAAATAAGATTGATAATTGTGAATTCGGTTTGGCGAAAATTTTTCCAACAAATCTTATTTTTTTTAAATCGATTACACTTAAAAGCTCGACGGCGCTCGGTATGAGATACAGTTGTTCAGTAACTTTCGCAATATCCGGTCATAAAATGGATGAGCAATAATTTATTATCTTGAACTCCTCCGTGTTTCAGAAGGCACGTTAAATCCTGGCTGCATCTGCAGTCGTTGACACCCACCATTCCGTTCTGGGCGCGCGGGATGGGTCATGGCCCATTCTCCCTATTCGATTTAATTCGATTCCAGCCATAGGGAAGGCCTGAGTCCCAGAGGGGACACTAATAGGCTGGTGATGGTGATAGCTGCAACATGTCACATTTTATTGTTTAATTATTACAAATAGAGCTGGAAACCAACCGCATATTTAAATCTGAAATTTTCAACGCGGCGGAGCACACCCTGAAAACAGGCTATATAAGTAAACTGTCGAAAGAAGAGCGCGTAGTACTACTCGGACACTGCCTGCGCTACGACAAGAAGCTGAACACACGGTCCCCGCTTATGAACGAAGTATTCTGCCACCGACCTATCGATTACCGCATGATGGGACTGGGAGTTATCAAAGTCTCACAGTAAGTATTTACGTTAGAGTTAGACTCTATTCCTTACTCCCCACTTTTCGTATTCATAGTAAAAGCTTTATCAAAAACGTTATCGAAAATTGCTTAGTTAAAAAAACAATAAACCTGACTGCAAAAAATAACCTCTGAAATGGGACAACACTCGAAGAAAACAACAGAAATGAAATGCAAAAAATAGAGAGCAAAAAGAAGCTCTATGTAAGCAATGTAAGTAAAGTTGGTCCCCGGCTGCAATATTCATATTTTTAATAATTATTCATTATTTTGATTGTTTATGTTATAATAGAAAAATACATTATATTTGTGCGTCATTGCTGAAACTAAATTATATAGTTTGTTTTTCTTCTTTAGCCACTTTTACATTTTATTATTGTTCTCTTCTCATTTCAGTGGTTATTTTATACAAGCGGGTTTTTTATATATTTTTATCTTTTAATCTACTTCGAGTAAAACTCATTAATAAAATTGACAGACAGTATATGTATCATTAGCGATTCTTTTTTTGTAATTTATCGTTTATAGAATGTCTCCACGACTTCACTACATGCTTCAGGCAATAGCAGGTCCAGAGGACAAACTGGTGGAACTGGGCGTAGTTGTCGGTATCCTCGGGATGTCACGATCAGTATTCGACACAATGTTGAGGCCTCTGCCTACAGCTTCAGAGAAATCAAAAGCATCTATGTTAGTATTTTAAGTTCTCCATCTTGTTTGCATAAAATTTCAAGATAATATAACAAAGCATTAAGCAAAAAAACTTACGAATAATTTTTTGAGCATAACTTCTCTAAATATTATATTAGGGGTTAAAATATGAAATTGCCGATTTATTGTAATAGATTCCTTGGATTGACATAGAATCTTCATGGTTTGAGGTTTTTTGACATGGCTATGATGTCCTTTTTTTAAAAATTGTGAATCATTTGAATATCGACTTTCAATTGTTTTTGTTATTCAACCAAGACAAGAAAGATGGATACTGCGAAAATTCGAGTGATTTTTAAATACGACTTCCAACATATAACAACAAGCGGCAGAAACAGCCCGCAATAGCAATGTTACTGTGGCGAGAAAACTAGCATCGTCACAGTGGCGATGTTAGTGCGATGAGTTAGATGTCGCTACGGATCAGTCGCTACATTTTGTTTGGAGAGGGGTCTGCTAATAAACGCACCGTGCGATTTTGGTTTAAACGCTTTCGTGATGGAAACTTCAACTTGAAGAACGAGCCACGAGGAAGACCGCCCACACAGGTGAATAACGATAAATTAAGAGAGATGGTGGAAGCCGATCCTAGTCAGACTAGCCAGGAATTAGCGGCATGGTTTAACGTTACCTTACCCACAATATTGACTCATTTGTGTCAAATCAATAAGATAAAAAAATACGAAAAATGGGTGCCTCATGATTTGACTGATCTGCAGAAAGAAACGCGTGTTGTAACTTGTGTTACCTTGTTGAATGGGTACCTACAGAAATCAAGGAATATTGGATCGAATTGTGATATGTCATGAAAAGTGGATTCTTTATGATAACCGTAAAAGAAAAAGGCAATGGCTGACCCAGGTTAAACGCCACAACAGTGTCCTAAAGCACAATTTACCAATAAAAAGGTAATGGTAACAGTTTGGTGGTCTCAGCATGGTGTTATTCACTATAGTTTTCTCCAATCGGGTCAAGCAATTACGGCAGATCTCCATTGTGCCGAACTCAATGTTGGCAAAACTAGCAGTAAAACAGCCCCGACTCATGAATCGATCTTCACCATTATTGCTCCAAGACAACGCTAGACCTCATACAGCACGAGAAACCGTTTCGACCCTTCAGGAACTGCATTTAGAAACCATTCGTCATCCTCCGTATTCGCCAGACCTTGCTCCAACGAACTACCATCTTTTCTCAATTTGGATAATTATCTACGTGACAAGAAGTTTTCTTCCCAGGAAGCAATACTAAATGCTTTCACACAATTGTACAGTCTAGATCCTCAGAGTTCTATCGCAAAGGCATAAACGACCTTCCTATTAGATGGCAGCAATATAATAATAATGGTAATTATTCTGATTAATAATATTTGTTCAAAATTAAAAAATAAACAATTTTGATTTTCAGTTCAAATCGACAATTTCATACTTTAACCCTTATTATATATTAAAGCTATTCAAAAGCTTTCAAATAAATACCTACTTTTAAAGCAGCGTTTCAGTTGGAACTTAAGTGCCTACTAAATAAAAACCATTTGTGTAAGGTGTACTTACTTGGAGCAAGTTTTAATATGTCTTTCATATTTTTTATTTCAGGTCATCAGCTAGTGGGTACGGCGGTGGCGGTGGCTCCAAAAGCACCACGTCCATGGGGAAAAGCACGATCGCTGCCCATAAATTATACCCTGACATTGTACTGCCTAGGAAAACAACTAAAGAGTGAGTATGAAGAGAGGTCGAAAAGTGCCTCCAAATAAAGTGTTTTAAATGATATGTTTTTTTATATTAAAAATTTTAAATATAATTACAGAGCATTCTTCCCTCCGTCGTTCCCCGAGGAGACAGAAAAAATCCGCCCGTGCAGCGAAACACAGCGGCGTCGCTGGCAAAACCGTCTCATCAAACTTCTTCATCCGTATGGAGTTTAATAATTAACAATATATACTTAAATGAAATCATTATTTAATTACCTACACAGTTCTCCCTAATCAATTTAAATTCGATTCTATCCCATCTCTGAGCACAGCTTATGTTGATGTGACGCACTGTTGCGTTGATATAAAGACATTATACGATGTGATATATTGTAAGATTTATTAGGACACCTTTTGAACCACGGACGGAATTGCATTGTTTGCTCGTCCGGAACCAATTAAGTTGCTAGCCCAATAAGGTCAACATGTTGATAGTCAAAAGTACTGTCACCTAGTTTTTGCATGTAATGTAGGTAAATTACAGACCCAAACATTACAACAGTGAGGGAGGCGAATTAAGCATTAAATTGCGCAACCTGTAATAATACAGATTTGTACTTTACATTACTCAGGAAACAAAACCAAGCACGTACAGTGCACAACTTGATAATGACTACCTTTGATACAACTTTGAACATCCGGAGAAGTAGTCATTTGGCCGGTTTCTAAATTGAGAAAAGTACAAAATCTGAACTGATTATTCAACTATTTCTTTACTTTTTATCAAACTGCTATCAACTGATCATTAAAAACTAAAACCAAAAAGGAAAACATTTTTAAGTGATTTTTATGTACAGTTTGAGATGTGCTTAACTTTAAATACTCAATTCAGAAACCGAATGGTCATCAAGGCAAATGCTCAAGTCAGAGAAACAGTATCGTAATGGTAATGTAATGCTCAAGACGTAGACGCTCCAGGTGAATAAGAAACTTTATCTACTCAAATCGAAAAATTCGAATTACGAATTAAAAGACCATTCTATACATACGCACTTTATAAACACATATACATAAAAATTAAAATAAAAGTCATTATAGTACCGCTATCTTTTTTTATTTATTAGTCTATGGTTTTAGGCTGAATATGGAAAAATGGCACACGTATGCGAAGTTCGAACTGTGAAAACATGGCGCACGCATAAATTACTGCCTTGTAACCTACCTACTTTATTTTATTTCTATTTTGCCTATGAGGAAGCTAAGGTAGTGTATAAAACTGCATATAACTTAGGTATTAAAACACTCGAGTCAACCGATACACAGACTCGTGTTTTAATACCCCTTCTTATATCATGACAGTTGCATAAACTACTATTATGTAGGCAACATGTATACAACGGAACCACTTTATGCATACTTTTACCACAGATATTACAATACAACTAGTACTTTTAGATACATACCCGATCAGTCCTCCAATGCTCCGAGCATAATCATTGATATTTTTGGGTAAATCTATTAGCACTACATTTTTACAATCCATAATACTATGCGTAAACTAGAAGACTAGTTAACTTACAGGTCAATAAGTACTAACTCTAGAAAAATCATCATCGCTACAAATTGCGCCATAAATAATTTAACAGTAATAAAGGCAGAATAAAAGAATCGTTAGTTTAATTAATTTATTTTAGTATATTTATTTAAATTAACAGTAACTGTTGGAACAGCACTAAGATTGAAATTTAAGAAATAATTATAATAGAAAATAAAGAAATACATAACTCCTACAGAACAATACACAGACGTTATCATCAAAGGTAAAAACGGTAATGTTTTATCTAAACCCCAAGCTGGGTGTAAAAAATTTTCATAAACAAATAATGCCAAAAGACCATATAAGTATATTGTTTCTGTATGGTTTAGAAGAGGTAATCTGAAATATCGGCGTCTCTTAGGACCCTTTAATTTGGTTGGCATATAAAGAAACGGAATATTACTAAAACCGATTGCAGAATGTGAAAATAATATAAACAATTTAATTGAAAGCAAATTTTTTGGATACAATAAAGGAAATAAAGAGTAATGTCCAACTACGGACAAAATTAAAAAAAGTCTTCCATCAACTTCTCCGAGCACAGCCATAAAACTGAAAATGAAAATAAAAAATCAATTACGTAAAAAATATACGCGACAAACAACGTTCTAGAACTGCCACTGAGCAACTTTAATTTCGAACATGAATCGATAATGAGTAATTCTGCCTATTGATAACCGCAGACATGGTCACCGCAAAATCAAATCACATAAGCGATCAAAATGAAGCAGTCAATTAACTAGCGACGTAATATATCGTGGACCTCGACTGCGATATCTAGCAACATCTACATTTAGTGAATATCTGTAAGACTTGCTGCTATGCAATGCCCACCCGTACCCACAATACTAACAACTTCTGAGGAGAATCAAGGAAAACAAAAGTAATTTAAATAACGTGTAGCTCCATTAGAGGTTCCACTGAGTCATAGAGAACATACATACTAGTGTTATCGGTAAAGTTTAATTTTATATTTTCAACAGGCGAAAGCCGTGAAAAGCAGTAGTTGTAAGATTTGTGTGCATTTGTTTGCATTTTACGGGCGGTGAACAGCAGGTCTCGCGAATACTGACTCGGTATGGAAGTTGCTATATCATAGTTTCACAGTATAGCAATACACTGCCCAATGAAATTCATTAAAATGAAAAATATTTTTATAGATCCTGGCAAATTTGTACACTTCATTTTAAAACTTAATGTGCGGCTGTGTGTAACTTCGTTCTGCTTTGATATTACATATAGATGTTATTCTGACAAAAGCGAGCTGATAAGCAAGACCCTTGTTAGTTTTAAAATGTTAGGGAGGATACTACTAAAATTTTTAGATGAACTGCTATCTGCGTACTATCTATCACCCGGTTTCTCAATGGACAATGTGAAGTTAAGCACGTCTCAAACCGTGCTTAAGCTATTTTTAATGTGATCTTAATTTTCATTTGATTGTAAATATTTTAAGTTATTGCGAACAATCAGTTGAGATTTTGTACTTTTTTCAATTCAGAAACCGACCGTATATCCATTTAGTTATAGAATAAGTTTTTCTTTACATAGTAGTATGCAAACCCGAAACAGTTCAATACCCTGGTACATATTGATTTTTTTACTTCTATATAAATATACGGCCTACCCAATATGTGCAAGTAATGGATTCAAATGTAGATAAAAGTAAGACTTGAATCAATGGCGTAACTACAGGGTGGCAAATCGGCAAAATGCCACGGGCCCCCAGCCGGAAGGGGGGGCCCCGTTCTGAGGAGAATCCCAACTCTAGAATGGATGCATGTCACGAATTTGCCAGGAGCCTAGAGCGGCATAGTAACCCTAGGCTAGTAAAATAGCAGGGGCATACCCACTAAAGCCTACTGATGTCCCTTTCCATAGACGCGAAGCACGGAAATAGCCCGAAGACCACATCCTGCGCCGAATAGTAACTACACTGACAATGTCAAGTTGACAATGTCAAACTCACCTTAAAGGTATGATTATCATCAAAATCGCCTTTTCATGCACATGCCAACCGAACATGAACGAACACGTTGCGCACACGATCATGCACCTGAAAATAATATAATATAATTTAGTAAAAGATAAACGTAATAGTTCGATTCGTATGAACTCGATGGCGCAGTAGTTAGTGCGCTTGGTCTGCGATATGGTTGTTCAGCTTTTCACAATGGCCTGTTATACTGAAAATTTACTATCTCAAGCTCCTCCGTGCTTCGGAAGGCATGGTAAGCCGTTGGTCCCGGCTGCATCAACAGCCGTTAATACCTACCAATCCGAACTGGGCCAAAGTAGTGGTTCGTGGCCCATTCTCCCTATTCTATTCCATCCAGAGGAAAGGCCTAAACTGCAGCAGTGGTTATATTAAAAGGCTGGCGATGATGATGATATGTGATAATTTCCAATTTTTAAAGTGTCGCTATTGGCTTACTGAATAATATTTGTATTCAACTAACCTAACAAAACTGAGACCTCTATATCTCCTGTCTGCTCCTAAATGCCATAATTTTACCAAAGCTGGTATCATTGTGATAAATGTGAGTGTAAATGTGACAATAGGTTTCACTGATGGAAGAACAGCATGCTCATACTCTTGGACTAATCCTCCAGTCATAACAGCTTCAGGTTTTGAAATATTAAAACCAGCCCTTGTCACTGCAAAAAATTAAAGCATTTAAATGTTAATCTCATTCGTAACATGTTGGGGGTAAAGACGGATCTTCCGATATTTGGTATAGCGAACTAACACTGATCCAAAGCGATTACAATAAGTTTTGTTCCGATTCAACATTGGCTAAAAGGCATAAGCGTAGCTAGGGGGGGAACCAGGCTGGACCCAGGACCCACCCTTGAAAGCTGTGGGCCCACACAAGATTGTCCATCGGGCGAATTTTTACATATCTACCTTTCTTAAATCCTAAATTAAAACAAAAGAACTGACACACGGTTTCTGAATTTATGCAGTTTTCCGTTTCTGATTTAAGTTTTCTCAAAACGTAATCGAATATTAAATTTTAAGTATTTCAATGACTAGCGTGCTAAGGCCATGCTTTTAAGAACGTACTGTTACTCAACTAAGAAAAACCTCTTTGACAGTTCTCAAACCGTTCTCAGGTTAGCTGAAAATTAAGCGTGCAAATTCGGCTACATAAACTATTCTCAATCTTTTTATTAAAAATTTTGGAGTTTTTTTTTTGATAAAAATGTTGCTGTATCTACAAATTCTTGACGACGACAAATGAGCGATGTTGACAGGTGTATTTCATCTTCGTAAATTTTTTTCTTAATTGTTATGACAGTGAGGAGCTCGATGGCGCAGTTATTGCGCGGTCTGCGAATCGCAGAAAATTGTGTAATGAGGAATAATACTAAGAGAACATGACTCGTGCATGCAAGTATGAGTCGAAAATCGTATAATTTATAAAAATACAGGTAAATTAAGTATTTAGGAATATATAACAGGTGCGGCGTGGTGTTGAAAAATACCTAGTAGATGGATCTGTTCTAATAAATACGCCTCACTTCTGTCTCCGATACAGTTTTCCAGAAGAACTATCATTTGGATCCACTACATTTATCGAATTTTCATTATCAATATTAGTCAGTTCGGGTTTTTTTGAAAAATGATCTGATATTTGTAAAATAAAATGTAGGCATGTAGGTATTTATATAAATTTCACTTATTTTCAACTTTGACTTTTATTCAATTATTTGGCTTTCTTGATCGGCTCTAAAATGTCACTTTGATAATTCTTGGCTTTGTTGACACTTTGTTGGCAGAAATGGAGCGGAGTGAGTTCATACGAAACTCCCCACCACACTAGCCGGATAATGAGTGCGCGCGACATTCCGAGCAGAAGCTGGGATATCCTTGCTACTTTTAGCGTACAATTTATTGTTTTGTCGGTTGAACTATTCTTCGACAGTAAAAATTTTCTCGTCGGTATAGAGTATTTTCCTGGCATCGTAACTTACGAAGATCGTTTAAGAAGTGAACTTTTCTACGGCTATAGCCTTTACCTTGAGATCATATTTCAGTATTCTGTTCACCGAAACGCGCAAAATATTAATCTGCATTAAGAATTTTTCTGAATGGGATTTCGGCGAAGTCGCTCTCGGATCTCGCGGAAAATCTGAATTGGTTTTTTCCTTGCCTTAAAGAGCGAAATGACAGTTGCACATAATTGTTTCGTTCCCTCCATCGCGAAAACTATTAACAAATTAATTTGCGATACTAATAAACTAAAAGTAAAAAAAAAATATTGTTTTCCAAATACAAAATCGGTAAAAAATATAACAGCCAGTAACATTTTATTCTATTTTTTCAGTAAAAAGTTTGTCTCAAAACTTATGATCACACGAGGTAAATAAGGACTACTGCTCAAAATTATATAAACTACTTCAAGACGCACTGACGCTCCCTGTAAGTTCCGCCAGTTGCGAAAGAAGTTTTTCTGCAATCAGGCGAATAAAAACCTGCCTTACAACAACTATTCTCCAGAATCGTTTCTCTCAACTATCTTTAGTAAATATAGAAAAAGATTCGGTGAAAAATACAATAACATCAGAGGCAATCTTGAACCGGTTTAGCGAAAAACACAGAAAACTTAAGATTGTTTGAATAGGTACATTATTTTCTTATTTCAACGTATGGAGTAGACAAATTTACATATCTTTGTTGCTCTGTTTTTTTGGTTTGTAATAAATAAATAACATTATACTTAATAATAATATACTATCTATTTAATTTACCTTGTTGTTGGTAATTTAAGAGCGGAGCTCATATCGGTGAATATCCAGCTATATTAGCGATTTCGACTAAGTACATAGTTTTGGTCACGACGCAAATAAAGGAATAGTATAATAGTACAGAATAACTGAAATCCTTAGATGATGCCTATAATAGTTGAACATGCGCCGATAGTCAGTGACCACCAGAGAAACTAGAAAACGAACAGCTCACAAATAAAAAAAATAGCAGGAGAGAATAGATTAAGTAAATAAGGCATATTTGATACTGTATTCAAATAATTAAAATAATCACATGCTTTTATTACTTATCAGGACTTACATTGTTTTATTATAGTATTGATTACAAAATAAAAAAAATATTCCCTCCCGATTTCCCTGTGCATCAAAATATGAGTATCTATATCTATTCTTGAATTTGAGGGAATCCCCGACCACCGTCTTTTCTATGTGCTGTTGTCGGGAATTTCTTCGAAGCCCGATAAGAGTAGCTACTGCCGTCTAGTAGTCTTTGCGTTTTATTAAACAGTGGTTAATAAAAATTTTGCAAAGTGACAGTCAGTTGCAAGAACGTCCATTAAAGGTTTCATTACTTTAAAGCGACATTACCCATACAAATTTGACATTCATTAGAGTTTAAAGGCGTCATTAAACCTTAATGGACGTTTGTGCAACTGACCATGAGTGTGAGGTGGCCTCAAATGCTTACTGAAAAACAGCTAAAATTAGTAATGAAACAGAGAACAGGGGGGCATCAATGTGAAAACTACAAATCTACTGGTTAAACAGTAAGGTTGTTGACACTGGTGATCACCTTGCCATGGCCGGCCGATTCATGGCCAGGGCCATGGCTCCCCCTAGAGAAAATCCCTAGCTACGCCAATGCTAAAAGGTAATCAAGCCATTGAGCATCAGTGGTCACTTTCTATCTCAATAAACCGTTTCCGAAGGAACCACGCGGGCGTAGCCGCTGGCAGAAAGCTAGTTAATTAATACACAACTTCATTACTTACATGCATGCGCTAAAACTTTATCTGCAAAATTGTATAGTGCCCAAAAATTAGGAGCCCAGTAAGCATGAGATAGACCTCTTTTGAATGGAAACAGCCTGGAAATTATCTGAAAAAGAGTATTTTCTTCTTAATATCTTAAAATATTATTCATAGAACAATTCTTAAATAAATATGTTATTTATATTTACGTTTACCTGAGGTATATGATCAATAAATGGGCCAAAGGACAGACCAAAAATAGTAATAACAGTTATGGCCAATTTCATAAAGTTTACTATAGAAAAAGCATGCCATGGTGTATGGGAACCATCTTCAGTTGGCACCGTAAAACAATATGCTCTCAATAAATAAACGACATACACAGGAGACACATATAAATATATATGTTTAAAATTTAGTAACACTGCAAACCACAAAGCCGATTGGATGTTGTTACTCTGCAATATGTTAAAATTAAGATTATTATTAAAGTAGAACTAAAAACTAAAAAACACAGTAAATATAGAAATACCTTTATCATATTAGAAATGGAAAACAGAAGAAGCCCAAAAAGAAATCCATTATATTGAAAATGTATATGATCAACCATCAACAACCCAGCATTGGTGACTAATAATATGTAGACTAGCAACTTTCCATTGCTAATTAAATTAGAGCAACTGAAAAATGAAGCTTCCATAAAATCAAATATTTTTACATTCTCAAAAAATGGCTCAGTAAATCACATATATTAATCTCTTTGGCCCCACCAGCCTCTTAAGAGGATTTGGTCACGTGACACGCCGTTACCGCAAGACTCTTAAGAGGTTTGCAAGCCAGCAGTCAATAAGAATATAAATTCTTTTTTCAGTAATTTATCTATATAACAAGAAAAACAGGAACAATGTAAGTTTAATGATATTTTTACAATAATAATTACAAAGTTGCGTGTAGATCGGGAAAAAATGGCGCGAAAGAAAGTATGCTACTTTCTAATGCTTGATTATTGATTTTCTACTTTAAAAACATATGTCTTTTATACATCAATTATAATGGTTACATATTGATAATTAAAAATATACATATAATACTTTATGTTGATAATTATAATTATAAATTACACACTTTTTTGCCACTAGATGTTTACTTTCATGCGAACTATAAGGGACAGGACCAGAGGTTAAAAATATATAACACTGTTATTTGAACAAAATCCGAGAAGTTTCATGAAAACACTTATTAACACAATGCTATACCTATAAATATTTCTAATGAAAATAGCTTAAAAAATCTACTCTGTCCCTGGCACTCCGAGATGGGACTTGAACACATGACCTTTTGCAATTCAGGCAACTGCTTTTGGTTGTTTGGGTAGATTGCCTGAATAATGATGAAAATAGGCTCTGAAGTAGCGAAAAAAGAAACAAGTGAATGAAATCATTTTTTAAAATTGTACTTCTGACATACTGTTAGTTATTTTAAATTACCTTGCTCATGGGTATACCGAGGAGAGTTATAAGAGATGGGCACTCCCAGACTAATGATCTACACCTTTGCCAACTAACTTAACTTCCAAGTTTAATGTAAATGTTGAAAAAACTTTTAAGTAATAAAGGGCTTGGATGCCATGCCACTACAACATTTTTTAATATTATTTTTATTATGACATAGATCTTTATTCCAAAGTAAACCCTCATACACATACAGACATACCTTTTGGCTCCTGCAATGTAAACTAAATCCAAAAGTATTACAGAAAGTCTTTGAAATAAAACTGTCATATCTGAACAGTGATTCAAATTTGTCAAATGTAGCATTTTGGGATCAAATAATTTTGCCACATGAGACAATGCGTATTCCATCCAGGCAAAGAATGGAGGATAGTCCAGTGTCCATTCTGAAGTAGTATCATAGTACCATTGGTCAATGGTCAGGTTGTGAGTTACAGCTAACCAATTTCTGTGGACCTCAAAGTCTGTAGAATGGCTAAAAAGAAATTTGATTACAACGTAATCATTGTTATAATTCTACACCAGTATTAATTATACTTCAAATCAACCAATGTAACTAAATACTTACTAAAGTGGTATGAAAAAAATTTTGATTGTCGTAACAATTAAGGCAATTTGTAAAATCATTTTTTCAAATACACGGAGAAGTTATCTGCAATTTTTTATAAAAATATTTCTCAATTTAATTCAATTTCTTGTTTTTTTTTAAGGTATTGAAAGCGTATATAAAGTAGCCTCATTAAATTAATTTTCTTCTATAATGTAGCCAGTGCTAGTTGTTTTAATTGTCTGATCACCAAATACATATGTTCTGTGCTCTGCACTACATTGTCTCAAGTTACTTCATTTGTCCAAAACAAAATTCTAAAAGAACAAAACAGCTGTTCTGCCGCTCGGTGTCACTGACATACTGACATTAACATATTTTTTTTTTCAGGCAAAGATCTGATGACCATACAGTCTTGTTCTTAGTATTGAACTCTTCTAATTTATCTATAGCACTTGTTTCGCATATCGTAATGACAAGTACAGTAGATCGTCGATCAACCGAACGACCTTGTTGAAACCTTGTTGAAACCGAACACTTGTTTCGACTTCAACAATATTCAATTTCTACAATATTAAATCTGATGACTAATAAAACTGACACCACTTCATCTACTGCAAGTTCAGATAATGAAGATGAAAACATAATTGGTGCTTCAGAAGCGTTTACTTGCTAAGATATTGCCTTGCGTTGGTTTGAAACACAAGTCGAGAACGACCAGTATCAAATATATGTCCTTAAAAAATATGTGAAAAAGCCGCTCGTAAACGGCTAGGCTTGCTTCAGTAAATTACACTTAATACTCTGGGGCCGTCCATAAATTACGTCACACAAAATTCAGGATTCGATTTTCGCCAATATTGTACTTAGAATGTTTTGTTGCAAATACTTCAGTTTATTTGTTTTCTAATTCCTATTTTTCAATAAAGATTTAATTATGAAAGTTCATATGTAAATATGGCTTTTATTCACCCTTGGATAAATAAATATGTATGGTTCTATCAATACAGTTCGATTATCCGAAAAAAACGGTTTTCCGAACACCCCTGTCCCCGAATTAGTTCGGATAATCGACGCTCTACTGTATTTAAAAAAGCATTAAAAAGTACCTCACTAGATGGCGTCTCTAGCAAAAGTTGATTTTTGCAGGAAACGAATGGATAAAAGATATTCATTTCCATTCCTTTTAACTAACCTACTTAAAAACTGAATTTTGTGAAGTTCAAAACTTAGATATCAATACAAATTCGAAAAAGTACATATAGACAATGAGTTCTTTATTGAGTTTTGGAAATCAAGAACCGTAGCGACATCTACTTTAATTTCAGGCACAATTTTTTTTTTTAAATACTTCCTCATTGACATTGACATTTAAACTCTCAACATCTCATTATCAAAGCTCAACATAACAAAATTATTTAATTACTAAATGAAAAGATTAAGCAAACGAAATGGCTATATTACACAGAGCTTTGTTTACATGGTTTATTTTTCTCGTGTTTCTTATATTGTTATGTCTTCGGCTGGAATCTAAAACACATTGGAATTGGTTCATAGTTTTTATCCCTATGTGGGTTTATGATAGTATATTATTAATTTATGTTCTATTTCATATGATATCCCACTGCAGAAATGGTATTGAAAGATTTCGTGGAACAATCAACAAAAACGTATGGTACATTGCAGCAATTGGTCTAAAAATGGCTGCTCAAATAATTACCTGTATTAAATTAGAATATACAAAAGTTAATTTGCCTATTTATGTTGTTCTTGCGCCTGTATGGATGTTACTTCCTGTACTTTGTGTTGAAGTATTTACGCATCTTATAAAACATTCAAGTGGTAGTAGTCGTTACTAAAATCTATAGACATCAACATTATTAGTGCACTAGGAACTAAATGACACCTTGTTCTATTATAAGTATACTGGCGTAAAACGCAACATGTGACTTCATACTTTAGTTATTTTTAAGACTTGGCACATGTTCATGACATTGTTAGTTTGATCACATATGTCAAACTCCTCTTCAGTGATAACATAATTCTAACGGTTTATCTCATAACAAAATAGTCAATAATGCCTATTGGTGAAACTTTGGTAAAGAGCTTGGAAGTAAAAGAAGTCCAGGCAGGATCCACAGCTGTTTTGAATTGTAATAGCAATGATTATAACCACAATTTTATGTTTTGGCTTTTGAATCAAACCAAAGTGATTGGCCCTGGTAATAACTATGATGAAAAAAAGTACAAATATGAGGTTTTATCAGGAAAACTATTCATTAATGTAAGTCCTTTTATTGTTATAACTAGTATACCTAAATCTCTAGTGATAAGGATACCTTGGGCCTCAAGATTCGGGGTTGGCCCTTGGTTTGTTATCATACATGTATTCATATTTGACAAGAGGTGTACATAAATTTTTACCTGTTTCATAATCTCTGCTATGTATACTTAAATAAATAAAATTTTCTCAGAAAATAATTGTTTCTCATTAAGTTGGATTTCATGATATAGATAAGCTGATATAATTATACTATGTCAACAAATCAATCATGTCTTTATCAAAAATTTTGATATTTTGTCATATTACAGAATGTTTCTCCTTCAGAGTCGGGTTTTTACTCCTGTGTATCAAAAAGCATAAGTGACTCTGGCATTAATATTGGCAATGTAGAAATGATTGTAAAAGGGGCATTTTCAGCAATAGAAGCAGTAAAATTAGTGGCTATTGTGGTGTCCATTATTGTACTTATAACTTGTGCAGTAATTTACTTCAGAATAAGAAAAGAATGGAATAAATATGATGGAAGAGCTGTTGTACCAGGTTTGTACTGTTTCAATGTGTATTTAAATACTAAATGCCTTAATAACATTTTTAGATTAAGTTTTTCTTTATTTCTATCCACTCATTATGAAACATACCCTTGATAACACTATGTATTGATAATTGATCTTTATTTTACAGTGGATGATGTTGAAGAGGATGATGCTGATGAAGTTTATAACCCTACTACTACAGTTAACCAGGCAGTACCAGGTCCTAGCCGAAATCAATCCTCAGACCAGCTCCTTTATGGAATAGATAATCAAGGATTGGACACTGATTTTAATTCAGTGTTTGAAAATATCCAAATAAAATATCCACCACAAAGAAGTCTCATTTAGAGTTTAGGTTATAAAACAATATTTATATTATTATATGATTTTATTAAAATCAAAGTTTAGTATTAGAAACATCATGTTTAGAAATGTCAAATGTAAGTTCTATATTGTAGTACTGTACATAAGTAAACAAATTTTGTAACAGGAATACATTTTTGTTTAAATTTAAACAATTAAAAGGTGTCCTCATGTGTGATATTTTGCTGGTCTGAAGCACTGTTACTATTATTACTCCTTTGTGTTGTATCTAGAGTTTCTTCTTCATCTTCTTCCCCATCAATTTCCATTTCAAAAACTCTTACTTTTCTATAGGTTTTTGATAAGACTACTGCTACTTTACGACCACCAGAAACAGCAATTCGGTAACCATTCATTTTATCTAATATTTTATAAACATCTTGATCTACTAAACCAGACAAATTTTTAACCAGATTTTTTTCAGAAAATACAAAAGATTTTGATTTTATGTTAAAATCTAGAGCATTTTCTAAAGCTATTTTTAAAGGTAATTGAATAAATATGGTATTTTCATTGTTTTGTGTGTGTTCTAACAAAATTGATAAATATTCTGAGGAATAAAATTGTACATCTAAAACTCTCATATTTTGTTGGTAATCTAAGTTTTGTCCTTTATTACTATCTTTAAGTAAGCTATCTGAGAAGTAGTATTTAACAGCAGTAGCACTGCAACTCTTTTCTTTAATATTGGTTGATACAAAACATATATCATTTTTATTTGTAGGATCCACAAATGCCATCATGAATCGTTGTTCATTTGCATCAAATATCTGAGATAACCTCAAAGTCTTGTCTAGTTCAACACTTGTTTGGTTTTCATGACATTTCATACTATAAAGGACTGAAAAATGTCTCCCAAAATCTTTTCGAGTAACATCAAAAACAGTTCGGACAGCATTTTTCAAAAAATTTTGTTGCTGTATTAATGAAAACTTTTTAAACTCTGACATAGAAAATATAGTATCGTTATCTTTTAGAAGACAGGAGTTGTCTTTGAGAAATTTTTGCCAGGGGCCATCATCATCATCCGGTATCTTTGTTAGTTCTTGGTCTTGTAAATATTGTCCTAATCTTTCCAGATTAAACTTAACAGGCTTATCTGGGGTACCAGTATTATTTTCACCTTGAACATTATCAAAGTTGTATAGGAACTCTGCAATGTGTCCTAGTTCTTGTTGATTTATTTTAACAATCTCACTAGGTGTTTGCTCATCTAATAATCGAACTATAACAACAAATAGCCATCTAAAGAACGCTTTATAGTTACTCATGGATACATCAATAACTTGCTGCAACTCTAAACTTTTATTCAGAAATGCGCAACATGCTCTTATTGCTTCTGTTACAGTATTTTCTTCAAGACCCAGTATCTACAATAAAAAAACAAAACATTAGATACACCTAAGATTTGTGTGAAAATCATTTTGGACGTATTTAATTAAATTGTATCTAAAGCGAAATTTATTAAGGAAACTTTTTAAATTTCGCATTAGTGGAAAAAAGGGCATTTATAATACTAACTAGTCTGTTTGTAGGGCTGACAAAGGTAAAGTATCATTACTTAAAGTTGGCCTGATTGCAACATAATAGCAAGTTAATAATTCTCAAAAGCTGTCACGCTGACTTTAACATCGACTCGGGGATCCGTTGCACCATCCTCTTTACATAGTAAAACAATAACTTGAATAAGCCAAACTTGGTTGTATAAAGCTATGACGTCATCTAACCGTTGCCAAATGTACACACGGTTGCACGTCAGTTTACCACAATATGTCAAATTTCCGCAATTGATTTTGAACTCTACGCATAACATATTAAGATTCAAAATCAAGTGGAGAAATTAGATAGTTTTGTATAGTCTGACTAGTGCTGTTGACTGTACTTAATTATATTTTTTTATTGATAAGTTGGTGCAACCAAGCCAAGAACTCAAACAACAAATTCAACTTTTTATTTAATAACTGTAACAACACACTTTCGGATATATAGCAATACAGATAAAGCTGTAATAATCCGAAAATCCGAAAGTTGCACAAAAGCGATTGGTTATTGTCTTACTAAGAATAATTATAATATAAACAATAATTAAATAATAACAAATAAACATTAAACAAAATCACATACATTGCTCAGATTCCGAGTAGCTAAACCCCCCGTATTATGGAGTGTCTGAGATAACGAAAGTACCACAAAACCCATAGTCAAAGTCAAAGTCAAAGTCAAAATAATCTTTATTCAAATAGACTTCTTAAAAGTACTTTTGAATCGTCCAACATTTTTTCCCTACCACTCGTTCAGGACGTCTTTTGGCTGATAAGAAGAACGAGCAAGAAACTCACCAGCTCTAATATGAGTAATGACATTTACAAAAACCATGTCATTACCAGATCAATACATTATAAACAGAGATAAAAAAAAAAAAACTATGGTCTTATAATAATAACATAATCATTTAATAATAATGGAAACAAGATAATGAGTTTAGAAGTAATCACCTATCCAGTTGCTGGATCATCTCAAGTCCAAGCGTTCTTATCTGTTACATAATCGGATACCTTATAATAAGCTTTTTTAATAAGTATTTTTTTAATAGTAGATTTAAACTGCATGATATCTAATTGTTGTATTTTGCTTGGGACCTTATTGTAGAAGCGCACACAAAGACCCTTGAAAGAGTTATTAACTTTTTGCAGTCTAGTGACAGGCACCGTTAATTTATTTTTATTTCTTGTATTAAAATTGTGTACATCACTTTTTATAGAAAACAAACTAATATTTTTACGAACGTACATTAAGTTCTCGTATATGTATTGAGAAGCAACAGTCATAATGTCTATTTCCTTAAATTTCTCCCTTAAAGAGTCCCTAATCCTAAGATTATAAATTGATCGAATTGCTCTTTTCTGAAGCACAAAAATTGTTTGTATGTCGGCAGCATTTCCCCACAATAGGATACCGTATGACATAACACTATGAAAGTAACTGAAGTATACTAATCTGGCAGTATCTATGTCAGTTAACCTACGTATCTTCATTACGGCATATGCTGCAGAGCTAAGTCTACTCGACAATCTATCAATATGTGGGCCCCACTGTAGTTTAGAATCTAATGTTATTCCTAAAAATACTGTGGTATCCACAAGGCCCATGTTCTTATCTTTTACATTAACATTTATATCTACTTTTTTAACATTAGGTAGTACAAATTTTAAGCATTTTGTTTTTCCTTCATTAAGGAGAAGATTATTTACATTAAACCAATGTACTACTTTAGCGATAGAATTGTTCACATCGTCATTTAGAGGTAACCCTCTTTTAATTTTAAACAAGAGTGAAGTGTCATCCGCAAACAAAACTATTTCGTGATCATCCCTTACGAAATAAGGCAAGTCATTTATGTAAATCAAAAACAAGAAAGGACCAAGTATTGAGCCCTGCGGAACGCCCATCTTAATTTTCGATCCAGGGGATCTTTTGCCATTGATATCAACCCTTTGTACTCTGTCAGTCAAGTATGAGACAATAAAATCCAATGAGTTATCTCTAAATCCATAAAAATGCAGTTTCCTAATCAATGTTTCATGAAAAACACAATCAAATGCCTTAGATAGGTCACAGAAAACACCTAACGCATCATGTGAATCCTCCCAGGCATTAAAAATTTCTTGTATTAACTCGACACCGGCTTCGGTTGTCGAGCGACCCCTTGTAAAACCAAATTGTTGTCGATTCATAAGCTTATTCTTGTAAAAGTACGTTTGTATTTGATCCAGCATGATTTTTTCAAAAATCTTACTAAACGTAGGTAGCACGGATATAGGTCTAAAGTTAGTAGGGTCAGATGTGCTACCCGATTTATGTAAAGGAATAATTTTACTATATTTCATGAGCTCAGGAAAAATACCACAATCAGTACATTCATTAAATATATAAGCTAAGATTGGAGCTATTGTCTCAATTACCGATTTAGAAACTTCAATGGAATTACCCCATAAATCAGCAGTTTTCGTTTTCTTTAGCTGATTAAAAGATTTTATTATATCTTTAAAATCAATGTGTTGAAACTTAAATTGGCTATTAGAATTATTTAAACTTGCCTTTAAAATAGATTCAGCAACAGTGGAAGAGGAATTCAAAGATTGTGTAATTAAGACTGGAATTTCAGTAAATAAATTTTCAAATACTGTAGCAACTTCAAGATCTGATGTTACTTTTTTATTATCAATGTTTAAATTAAAATTTATATTCCGGGATTTTTCTCTTCCAGTTTCACTATTTATGATATTCCACGTCATTTTAACTTTGTCTTTACTATTTTCAATTTTTGCATTTAAATAATTACATTTGGCTAAACGACACACTTTTTTAAATAATTTAGAGTAATTTCGTACATATTCTTTGAAGTCCTCACTTGTGTTATAATTACGTACATATCTGAGGCAATACAGAAAAAATCATTTTCTACATTGACCAGACCGGGAATCGAACCCAGAATCTCAAAGATAGCAACACCGTTCGTCATAGGTATAGATGACTGTAATAGTTCAAGATTAGTGAAATGATTGTACGAGTGTAGTGCAAAGGTACATTTATATACCATACCATATGATTTTTATTTGTATTAAAATTTGTGTCCCCAATTGTTATAAGTTTATTTGTACGCTGCTATTTTTTTAAAACATTAATAAGCGGCCAGGCACTATATCACGCTCCTAACGAAAATATTCAAACAATTTTCTATTATTATTAAAATTTGATTTTGATATTAATTTATTATCAAAATCAAATTTTGGGTTAAAATTGAAGTAAAAATAATTACCTTGTATCTGTCAGGTATCCGGGTGAGCCCTCTCAATTCCGAAAGGTAGTATGTGAGGTGCTGTCCTACAATATTTAATTGTTTTAACACTAGTTTTTGTATTGTTGAATAACTCAACTCCACTGAGTTACCAAACTTTTTAAGACCCTTGGCTGTTAATTCTTGTAATAAAAATATTTCCAGGGCATCTGATGGAACGCCTGTAAAAAAAATATATTCTCAATCAATTTTGAATCTAATAAGGAAATTATCATAGTCATAATGAAAAAGTATATTGTTGTGAATGCAAAATTGATCAAAAATAATAAATCTTATCATTTTATAGTTTTGATGTATCAAGTTCTGATGACTAATTAATACCTGATAGAAATTAACGTTTATTACACTAATTTCATAAAATTGTAGTTTAATAATTACACACAATATTAAAAACGAATACCCTACCTAACATTAAGAGTTCCAACAAATCAGCAGAGACTCCACCTTCAGGAACAAATGTAGCATAATAAGCCATCTTTGTATCCATTTCTAATAGTATATGTTCCCAAGCCTCAGTAATAGATGTCATGGTTTGATCCAAGTATGATAGCAATTGTATTATGTGACCATGTCTATTAGCCACAACAAATATTTCTTCAGCATAAGCTGACAATACACTTGTATTAATTAATGATGACAATAAATTATTTGTGACTCTGTCTAAGTAAACAACTTGCATTACACTGAAATCATCTGATAAGTTTATATCAAGTATTTTATATTCTCCACATTCATCTTTGGTCACTTGCGCAAGACTGATGGTACAATAATGATAGCGGCCAAAAATACTCATGTAAATTGAACCAGATCCATAGCCAATTAATAACATGTTTAACTGTGTGGGCTCTTGAATTTCTTTACTGGTTTTCACATTATCTTCAGTAGTTTGGTTTTTATAATTGGAACTATTAGTAGGAGGCTTTTGTAAAAAGATTGAGGCATCATCCTGGAATAAATTTGTTAATTTAGTAGAAGATAGGGTCTGCTTTGTTAAGCTTATGAAAACAGCACTACACTGGTGAAGTAAGATTTCCTTTAATATTTTTTCCTATGAATGAATAAATATTTGTTTAAGGTTATCAATTAACGCCATTAAAACCTTTACAGCAGCGTTTAAGGCGTAATGATTGGTCAATATTTTTTCAATTTTTTAACATCTCTGTATGAAATAAAATGGGTAGATAAAAGCAGCCCTTGCCGAGTTTCTTGCCAGTTCTTCTCGGTATAAGATCTCCCGCCGCACGATTTACGAACCGATGGCATAGAGTTTCGACTTTTACGAGTGCTTGTATGTATAAATAAATTTGAATTGATATATAAGAATGCAGGGACTTCCAATCAATTACGAAATCGTTCTACCGCTTAAGAATATTCCTAGCATGAAATAATAATGGTTTACATAGATCGCAGCTAGCAAAAATGCGTCTCCTTGCGTGTTTAGACAAGACGAACGGCGCGCAGCAGCCGCAAGTTTTAGCTTCTAGAGACGCGCATTTGCATAAATATTATTAATAATAAAAACAATACAAAAACTTATGTTTACAGTAACGAAGTAATGCCGTTGGATGATATCTGCATTGAGTAAAATGAAAATTTATGTACTTACATACATGTTATACTCTGTAGCACTTTCCAAAGTACCAGCTCTTGCAGTCCATGTAATGCACGATATACCAAAATTCTTAGAATCATTAAACTCTTCTGATGTATCTTGTTCTAATTCATATTTATCTAACACTTCCTTGTCTTCAATATCAATTATATAAACACCACCAGAACTATAGCCAATAGCCAAAGCCTAAAATACAGAGAAAACAAAAATTCTTCTGGATATATAACAAAATTATTTTTATAAAAATAAAATCGCTAAATAGTGGTTAGCTATTAAAACAATTTTTATGCCTGGGAATATATTTTTTTGTTGTCATTTTCATGAAACATTTATTAAGAAACTTCAATATTATGGATTTTAGTCATTGGATTTTATTGTTTCGTATTAGAGTGCAAAGTTGACATCAACCACATGAGATGGATGTTCCACAAGGCTCACTCCTGGGTCCCTTCTTGTTCTTAATAAGGGATAGTCACAGAATAGTTTTATTTGGCATTTATTTATTAGTTACTAGATGACTTAATGTACTTAGTATTATTTCTCACCTTTAGCCCTTCCCTGGACTACGACCAAAACCAAAATCAGTTAAATAAGTCCAGCCATTCTCGAGTTTTAGTGAACAGCAATTTTTGAGCAGCAGTTGCTGATTAGTGCATTACAGTGCAATACTTATTCCTATTTTTTTATATACTATTAATTTACCTTTCCATCAGGTCTCCATGCCATACAAGAAACTGTTATATTTTCTCTTGGAGGTGATAAGTTCCAGACTTTTTGCCAATGAAGTCTGTGAATTTGAACCTCACCTAAAATGCAAAGCACAATTTTAAAGCCTGTCTTCATACAATTTATACATATCACTGTTGAAAGGTAAATTAATCTAAGCACAATTTTTTTCATATTAAGTATATTTCTTTTTCATATTAAGTTGGGTACATTATGTGAGCTATTATTATAAACATAATCCATCTTAAGAAACAAGGATTACAGTTCATACTTGGTGTAAACCATTGGCTGTCATAAGTAAATTGACAATGACATTAGAGAAAATGTTAAATTGAGAAACATGACTTTATATTCTTAATGAAAAATGCTTAAAATATCCACCTGCCTCAGGTACTCTGAGAAAGTTGATTTATTTTGGTTGGATAAGGGTTTAAATCTAGTACTAAAGTTAGTTCTTCTTTTATAATACGACAAGGGTCAGTTTGTAATCTGGCTCACTCAAATTATAGAGTATTATAGATTTGGATTAAGTAAGATTTTTGAGAAATTATTATTAATAAAAATAATAATAATTCTAGAAAGATTATAACTGAAGAATTATGGATTTAATTATTTTTATTGGATTGTGAATACAAAATTGATCAAATATAATAATTATTATTATTATTGTTTAATTTTTCCTACCTGTTTAAATATTTTTATCTTTTAGCAACTATTATTTATCTCTAATTACTGTTTATCAGTAACTGTTAATAATGGAGGATTCAAGTGAGTGGTTTCTCACCCGGTTGGGCTGATACCAAAATCATGATCTGGCATACATCTGCTGTTGATAACTATAATTACAGCACAGGATGAGCAATAACCTCACCAGCACCTGCCTAGACATGCATGGTCTGTTTTGTAATATACCTCAGTTGATACACATATGCATTAAGACCTAATTAGATTTTAACATGTGCATAAAGATTAATAGTGAGGTTACAGTTTCTCACTCGAGGAATCATAATGTATGTGGATTTACATGCTAATCAGTTTGGTAATGATATAAATGTTTTGAAGAAGCTGACAAAAATGTTTCTCAAACCGCCATACCTGATGGTTTAAAGAATACTCTTTATGAATTAGACAAGTATACTCTATACCAACCTTTAAAATTACTTAATGCAAGAAGGTCAAGCCTATTGCTCCATACCATTAAATCTATTTGATTTGCCACATGCCTCTCTTCCATCTGCCTCATCCCACAATGATACATTATAAATTTGATTGATTGTAATATTTTGCACAGTTAGCACTTCAATGCACTGTCCGAACAAGATTGCGAGCGGATTTTGTATTTCAGTTATTCAAAACAACTAAATATTATCCTATTTATCTTTATAACGCTTTTTACTTATATCAGTTTTAATGTGCCGTAGGTACCTTGGCAAAAAAATGAATTTATAAACAAAGTCAGATTAGTACACAGACCCAGTATTAGTGGTATTCAGTGGTATTACTAATATGTAGCAAAGAGTGTAAATCTAAATAAAATAATAATACTCTTTGGTGTAAATAAATAATACAAAAAGTAGAACATAAGGTACTTTGTAGTCAGAGATGTCAATTCAAAACGACTTAAAATCATTAACGCGCTAAAGACTAATAATAATTTTTTAACGTGTTATTGAAGGCGCTAATTTATTACCGCGTTAATTCAAAGAAGCGTAAAGGTGCGTGAAGACTCGTTCAATTCTGAGCATGCTAAACCTTGTAACACGTTAATTATTTTATGTATTACTTTTAACCGATTACGGGCAATTAATAATAATGAGAAAATCTCTTTAGATTCCGCTAGTTCTCTCACAAAATGGTATTTGATGTTAATGTGTTTCGATCTTCTACCTACAGCATTAGAATAAATCAATTTTGCAGCACTTTGACTATCACTAAACAATTCTACTGACACTTTAACACCAGTTAATTCTTCATATAAACCTTTCACAGATATAATATGTTTAGCAGCCTCGCAAGCAGCGATATACTCAGCTTCTGCTGAGCTTAATGCAACGCATCGCTGTTTACGTGCCTGCCATGCTATTACAGCGCCACCTAAAAACAAGCATATATCCCGTAAACGAATGACCATCTTCATTTTTACCCCAATCTGCATCACAAAAAGCACATAACGGTTTTCCAGTTTTCTTATATATTAAAACATTATTCATTGTGCCTTTGACGTACCGTAAAACACGTTTTAATGCTGACATATGAGTTGTGTTCCAGAAGTTGTTGAATTGACTGAGATAACTTACAACAAAAGCAATATCTGGTCTTGTACCCAAAGCAAGATACATCAAGGACCCAATGATTTCTTGATAGCTGGGATCATGATTTATGTCATGATTCAAGTTTTCTGATTTCGTGATTTGCATACCCAGACATTCTTTAGCCTCACCCAAATCCTTAATCTTGAAACCTAATCTTATGTGATCCTTAACTTGATCAACAACTTGTTGTGAACTGCCAAAAATATAAAAATCGTCTACGTACAGAGCAATAGCTGTAAAATTATTCTTACTTCTTTTAATATATACACAAGAATCATAATTTGACCTCTTGAAGCCGAACTTAACAATGTGAGCATCTACTTTGACATTCCAGCATCGAGCTGCTTGTTTCAATCCATATATGGCTTTCTTGAGCTTACATACCTTTTGCTCATTTCCCTTCTTTACAAAGGTTTCTGGTTGCTCCATGTAAAGATCTTCCTCGAGGTCACCATTTAAGAAGGCTGTAGTAACATCAATATGATGTACCTTGAGGTCTTTCTCAACAGATAAAGCAAACAACATCCTGATTGACGAAAGCTTGACTACTGGTGCAAAGGTTTCGAAATAATCTTCTCCCCATTTTTGGGAATAACCCTTGGCAACTAATCTCGCCTTATGTCGCTGAACTACACCATCCGCTCCTATTTTGAGTTTAAATAACCACTTACATTTAACCACATTAGTCCCACAAGGACGGTCAACTAAATTCCAAGTGCCATTCTCTATAAGGGAATTATATTCTTCTTCCATTGCTTTCCTCCACAGCGTCTTATCTGAGCGCTTCATTGCATCCTTTACAGAAACAGGATCTCCATTAGTTGAGACTAGAAAATTGTATTCCATATCATCATATCTCTTTGGAGTACGTATTCGTAAGGGATATCTTCTATTTGGCGAAACTTCACTAGTTTCTTCTATTTCAGAATCTTGTTGACTACTCATTTCGTCTTGAGCTTCAAAAGTATCTGACCGTATATTACTTACGCCTTGACTTTCTGTTTCTGATCTTATTACCTCTCCGACTCCATCATCACAGACGTTGGTAGCAGAAGACACTCTGTCCTCTTCGCGATAATCCCAATAAAGTCCTCCTTGGGCAACTTCTTTCTCGGCTTGAGAAACTTCTTTTGTACATTTATCAGATGTAGGCTGCTTGATAACTTCCTCAGGTTTGAGATCACTGACCGAGGGATTTTGTAACTTTTCATTAAAGACTGCATCTCGACCGATGATAATCCTTTTTGGATTATTTAAATCAATAAATCTGTAGGCTTTCTGTGCTTCACTGTATCCCGTAAAAATTAATTCGCGAGTCTTGGCATCAAACTTCTTTCTACTGCCATCCTTCACTAGGACTTGTGCAATAGATCCAAAAACTTTCAGATACGATAAATCTACTTGTTGACCTAACCACACCTCTTCAGGAACCTTGTCTTTTAAAGCCATTGTTGGGGATCGATTTTTCAAATAAACGGCTGTGTTGACAGCTTCACCCCAGAACTTTTTATTTAGACCACTGTCATGAAGCATACAACGTGCTTTCTCTGTGATCGTCCTAATAGTCCTCTCAGCTACTCCGTTTTGAGCTGGAGTATGTGGAACAGATGTCTGATGCTGAATTCCATATTTCTTTAAAAAAGATTGAAATTCCTTATTGGTATACTCTGTACCATTATCAGATCTAAATTTTTTTTAATTTTCTTGAAGTTTGATTTTCCACAAAAGCTTAAAATTAAAATCACGAAAACATTTGAATACTTCTTTCTTCGATGTCAACATATAACAGAAAACTTTTCTACTGTAGTCGTCAACAAAGATCAGAAAATATTTTGCACCTCCCCATGACTCTGTTTCAATTGGACCGGCAACATCACTATGTACTAGTTCAAGCAAATCGTTTGCTCGCTTACATTTCTTTCGATGTGGAAATTTCTTTGCACACTGCTTTCCCTGGCTGCAGGCCACACAATGAACTTTGTTATCAACCTTCCCAAAATTAATATCCTTAATCATACCTTTTAGTTTGTTCATCTGAGGATAAGATAAATGACCTAACCTCCTGTGCCACAACTCATAGTCATCCTGACTACGACTGCTATCACCTAAAAGAACTGTCGGAAACTTGTCATTATCCGGACCTAATACATTTAACCCGTTTTTGCGTGGTGCTGTAAAAAGAGGTTTACCTATAACGTTAACAGTATCATTAAAAACTTTACAACACTTTTTATCAAAAATAATAACCTTACCACTTTCAGCAATCTTGCTTACTGAAATCAAATTAGTTAATAACTCAGGAATAAGCAATACATTACTCATTTTCACATCTGTGGTACGTCCCTCGTGATTAATCTTCAAATCAACAGTTCCTTGTTTGTTTGAAACAATTTTGTCTTTATTTGCACAAGTAATAAATTTTGCACAAGATTTTTCTGGTTTCAAAATGTGTTCATTTGATGTCATGTGGGACGTAGCACCAGAATCTATAACCCATCTATCATTACTTTCATAATTACTAGTTAAAAAGATTACAAACTCCTCAGAGTTGTCATTTGCAAGACAAGATTTCGGCTGAACATCAATATTAATTTTCAATTTTTTACATTGAGACTTATAATGCCCTTTCTTTTTACAATAATAACAAATTATAGGTTTTTGTATTTTCTTTTTGTCATTAGAACTCGACACTAGTACCGATTCGACCTTGTTTTCATTCATCCCACTATACGTTGGTTGACTTTGTCGCTGCCCTTCTTTAAGTATTGCGGCGATTACGGTCTCAGACGAAATTTTTGTTCCTGAATGTTCCAAAGCCATCATAGCGGATTATACGAATCTGTCAAACCAGCTAACATTATTATACTTAGAAATTCATCATCCAAACCAGCTTTAATCGTTACGAGTGCTTGATGTGTCGCTTGGATATCTGTAACGTACGCTTCCATACTAGGGTAGCTCTCTAGTTTCACGCTGAATAATTTTCTAAGTAATGTTAATCGACGCACCAAACCTGCATCCGCATATGCTCTCTTTAATGCTAACCAAGTTTCTTTAGCATTTTTTGCTTCAGCAATTAGTGGGTAAATTTTCTCCTCAACGCTCAGGCATATTTTGGCCCGTGCTTTAGCATCACGCTTCTGATTGTCTGCTGTCAAAACAATATTTTCTTCCTCTACGCAATTCCATAAATCATGTTCCACTAGGATCATTTGCATAGCGAATGACCATGTTCCATAGTTGGAATGGCCTTTTAGTTTTGTTATGACTGACTCTTTCTGCATGATTCTAACGTTTTATTCACTCCACTTTCCTGAAAAACTACATAGGGCCTGGGCCCATAACCTGTTGTTTTTGTGGAAATAAACAATGTAGCAAATAAAGGATTGTGGAGTAAACGTATAAAGTATTTTATTAATAAAAATAATATAATCCTTAATGACAGAGAAAATTTTAAAACAATGATAATACACAAAACAATAACATAGCAACCAAAATCATTTCTCTATGACTGGACGTATATTTAAAAGTTCATTGATTTTATGTACAAGAATCTACTATGTACATTTGCTATCGTATATTTTATTCACATTATTTACTCACAATATAATTGTTTTAAACAGCCGTTTATAATCTATTAACACACACAAACTTCTTTAAACATCCCAGAATAACTCATAATCACCTAAAATACCTTCTATCCTAAAGTATTTAAAATATCGATTTAGTAAACTTTGTTAAACCACAGGAGATACGATCGCGCGTAATAATTACCTAATTAGCGTGCTCCGAGCATTAGCAATGATACGTCAGCTTACGTTAACTGCGTGGCCGGCCGCGGTCTCGTTTCATTCGTTCGTTTGGTCGTTGATCGTTTTGAAATTTCACGCGTGAATCTTGTTAGTGCGTGTAATTCGTAGCGCCTTCGCGTATACGTATATAGCAATGTTAATCTTTAAGAGAGAAACGCGTGTTAATTAACACGCTGGATGTTAATTTAGCCACCACTATTGCGCATATCCAGGAATCCAAAACAGAAACGCAGTAACAGTCTGTCGCAAATCCATACAAATAACTTAACATAATCTCTGTTTTTAATCTCAGATAACAAATTAACATTAAACAAAAATTTTAATAA